CATTTAACTGTAATACAACCCGGTCAGAAAATGACTCTGTGTTTTAAATTATATATATTATATTTAATATGTAATATATAAGGTGTGTGTGTTTATATCTAAGATAAATTAGAGTTGGCATTATTAATAAGTATAGTGCTCTTTCCTGAAAGGAAGACGAGGTTGAAAATAATTCAAACTGCATTAGTATTATGTTCATTTGCTTCAATCATTTTCTACTGTTCTAGTCATTTTACATTTTTCCAATACATTTTTTTTTAGTTTATCATTTATTTTGTTTTCACTCTCAATTCTTTTCTTTCTTTTTCCTTTGTAACAATTTCAGCACCAACTACAAAACCTTTCCAGACTTCAACCACTGCAAGCACATCATTTGTATCAAGCACGATAGCGTCAATTGCACCGAGGAACATAACGTCAAGTGCTGCGAGGAATTTCACTTCTACAACACACTCTCGTGAGTAATCAGTCTTAGACTAGTTATCAATATGGCAATTCTGTACTTTTTATTCTTCGTCGTCTTTCAAGCAAAACATGATTTATTTGAATATTCTTGGCGGACAGTATGTATTGTTACTTTTACTATTTTGGAACTACAATTAAACAAGTATTTATTTTATTTATTAATTTTTTGTTTTTGTTTTAGTACCCGGTACGAGTATTACAGAGAATCAATCAAAGCCTAGTGGAACATGTAAGTTACTCATAACCTTGACATTGAATAATGTTTTCTTGGTTAAATGAGGCATGCAGCTGTATAAATCAATTAAAGAAGTCCGTCATCACATCAAAAAAAAGTATTGTTTGAACAAGGTACACAAAAATGCTGACATGTACGTATTGCCAAAGCAAATTGTATGCACTCTTTTTCATAGTATGCAATAGTTACCTTTAGCACTGCACTTACTCTCAGGCCATATTTAGTAAATTTGCATATTGTTCGTTTTTGTAGGTACCTCAATCATCGCAGCATGTGTCACTGTCATTGTTATCCTTGTTGTGGTCATCGTGGTATTAGTCGTCTACATCTGGAAAGGAAAAGGTAAAAATGGAAGCTGAATAAAACCTTTGCTTTTTAGTCGACGCTGGTTTACAATTAATCAAAACGACTAAAGTTATCTTTAAAATATTTCATTTTCTAGAAAAATCCGGAAGAAAAAGGTATTATTTTTGTGTTTTAGCATCCAATGGAGTATAGTTCTAGTTTAGTTCTTTAGCGTTTTTTCATACTCTATTTTGGATTATTTCTCAATGCAGAAGTTTGTCAAGTATTAAAGGGAAGGACCTTGAAGCTTACGAGGTAAACATACTGTCAAGTGATTTATATAACGTAACTATGGAAGAGCTTGATATTAAGAAATGCACCAAAACTCCATTTGTTCCCCAAAAGTACAGCAGGTCGTACCATTACATCTCCTATTATAATCTGTATACTAGTATTACAATAGCTTCCTACAGTGTATGCATATACCATATATGGAAAATTAATTTATTAGTTTTTGTAATATGCTACCTGCACGAGTAGAACTTGAATACCATTATCGTTAAGGGCCCATTTTGAAATTTTGAAATTTATTATATGGTTTTGTACTCAGCGCTTTTTAACTCGAGCAATAAATCGTTGCGTGGGTATATCTTACTATTTTTTAATAAGCTGCATGTTTGTCGTTCGAGACCTGAGTGTGTTTGTAGCAGCTGAGATTTAAGATTTGGATTTTTTTTTTTCAATTTTAGAATGCTAATCCGATTGATGACGCCTCAAATGTACGAGTCCTTGAGTCAGTCAAGCCAAGAAATGTCGAAAAAGAACTTTACGAAACAATCTGTGAAAACAAAGACGAAGGCGCTATCACCCACCTTACGTCCACTCATCCTGCTGTTGGTGCTTTGGCTGTAAATGAGATGACTACACGAAAATCGTCAGGCCGTGCACGTAGTCAAGAGCCCGTAACTTCATTACCACCACAACATTACCAAGATCTTACAAATCTACCAAAGGGCCAGCAGATGCCATTATACGAGCCTATTAATAAACGCAACACTAAGCAAAGCACTGATGTGGCGGATGATCCAAGAACATACGAACAACTGCAGCAGAATGTGGCAGGAAGAGAGTATCAGTCGTTGCAAATCACTCCAAACAAAGAATAAAGCAAAGTGTGACATTTTTTGTGTTTGATCTCGAGTCAAAAGTATTAAAGAAACTTGGTTAAGTCTTCAATATTAGCAATTCAAGTGTGTGTGTGTGTTTTTTTTTTTTTTTTTTTTTTGTTACAAGCTGTGCAGCATTGTTTTTTTGACAGAAAAATGGAGAAATTGAAGGCCCAAACACTAGACCATCAATCCTTCAGTCAAATATCTTGATAGTAAAGGATCGAGCAATGATGCATAAATCAGCAACTTAGCTGTATTCTACTACAAAAGATTTTTAAAAAATGCTTGAATTCCTTTACTTTACTGGTGCTTTGGCTAAATAATCCCAAGTCACACGATCGACTTACAATTGCACTCATTAGCACTGTTGTTAGCATTTCAATTCATTTGATGATTAATAAGCAGATATTTATTCGTTTCTCGTGGCCTAATTACGTTGGTATGCAACTCCCACCGCCTCCCCTACCCCGATGTTTTTCCTCGTTATATTTCAATAACATCTAAGTTTTCTATGCTTAACAATAACCATTCGTATAGACTATTAAGGTGAATGCACGGTTTTCAAACCTAATCTTACCGTGGTTTTGTGTGACATGTGATTCTTTTTTTTAATGTTTTAATTACCACGCGCTTTTTGATTCTTTGAAAACATTCATACCGCAAGATAACTTAGGCCTTTTCTGAGGCCGGTAATTAGCAAGGCCAGAGACAAATTTGACAGCACAGTGACTTGGGACTATCGCCAATATAAGTTTATAATATATTTGTCATCAACGTTGGGGATCATGCAGCTGATTGGATGACATTTATCCATTGCTTTTAATTTCGTCTTACYGCTTATCTTTTTTATCCCAACCGCAAATACACTGGGTAAAATGCAAAGGGATTATTCAGGTCTTCAGTAGCAGCGTGACGTGATTGTCACTATGGCTGCACACGTCATCCAACTTAGCATTTACATCATCTTTAACCTTTAGAAAAGGTTACGCTACAAATATTAAAAACACAGTAGCCAAAAGCGAACGGACGCGTCAATAGATTTATTTTTTCAATAACGTTCATGTAACGACTGAGATTTGTATGCGTTAACCTTCGTTTAGKTAATCGCTAACGTAAAATGTATGTCATTTTATTGAGCTGTGCAGCACTGATTCTACAGTTACTTCCGTCTGTAGGTAAGTTTAAGAAAAATG